GCAGGAGAGGAAGCTTCGGTATAAACGTAGTTTCCAGTGAGGTTACCGAAGGTATGGTCAACTGCCGGACCGGTAGCACCGGAAGGCGTTCCACCCGCATCAACGTACCAGCTATACGAGCCGGAGTTAGTAGCGTAGCAAGCCGGCAATGAAGTAACCGGGGCAACGGCAAAACTTTCGGTGTAGGGGTAATTGGTAATTGGCGCACAAAGTGTGCAGAAATTAAACGGCCCTACATAAACGCTGGTATCGCCCGAACCGCAGTCGGATTGAACATAGAAGTCATAGCACTGTGAAGGTGCAATGCCCGTTAAGCTCAGGGTGTCATTGGTGCTGCTAACGGTTGTTCCGCTGCCAAGCGCAAAACCGGAAGGCCCGTATTGTACATTGTAAGATACGGCCCCACTAACCCCAGTCCAGAAGAGTTCTGCGCTGTTGGTAGTCATGCCAAAGGCACCCAAACCAGTTACTGGAGAACAAGCCGGAGCCGCACAACTTGCCTGGAAGGTCANNAATGATCCGGCCAACGTGGTGTATGGATCGGTAATGTCAAAGCTTATTTCTTCTGACCAATTGGGGCCTCCTGCGCCACCGGTGGTTAGTATGAAATAAGCGTCAAGGCTGTCGCAAAGGGAGAACGAAACCGGGCCAAAAGAAGACCCTGAAGTAAAGTTACTGCCCAATACTGCAACGGGAGCTCCGTTTTGGTAAACGGTTACTTCCGTACCGTTCCAGCCATCGCCAAAGGAATCAAACAAATCAGCGGTGTAAGCGCATGTATTTGCCGTATCACAAGGCGAAGTAGTAAATGAGAAAGGACCAACGTAAACACTCACATCACCCGGGCCACAGCTATCGCGTACGTAAAAGTCGTAAGCCGTAGCGGCCATTAAACCGGTAAGGGTTGTGGTATCATTAGTTACACTAACTGTGGTTCCGCTGCCCAGTGAAAAACCAGTGGTTCCGAACTGAACATCCCAGTTGGCTGCGCCTCCTGTGGTCCAGAAAACATCGGCCGAAGTATTGTTTACACCAACAACGCCAAGAGCGCTAGGGGCAAAACAACTCGGCAGCTCCATAATCATTACGTCATCAATAAGGAGGTCGTTGTAAAAGTCGTTTCCTCCGTTCGACTCTCCGCGGAAGCGAACATGAGCCAGGTTTACCGGCTTAGTGAAGCCCGAGATATCGTAGACAAAGGTTTGCCAGCCGCCCAGGTCTCCGCGCAGGGTATCTACCAGTTGCCAGCTGCTTCCGTCAAATGCCTCTACGTATAGCGTGTTGTAATCGCTGCTATTGGTGTTTTCGCTGAAGAGGCTAAACTGCAATGCGGGGGTCATTAAGTTGCTAACATCTACCGGAATCGATTCTAGAGAAGTAGAATCATCGGTTGAAGAAAAGTCAATCCAGGCGTAATAGCCACCGTTTCCGGTTTGTTCAGCAGCGTTGGCCGCAGCGTAATCGGCTGAACCCAATTGGCCAAACTCCCAGCCAGAACCTGCGCTCTCGTAAGCCGACCAGCAATTTGGTACAGAGGCCGAATCAAACGATTGCGTGTACGGGGCAAGGGGGTAAGGGCAAGAAAAAGAACAGTTTACGTTGAAAATGGCCAGCGTATCGCCCGTTGAAAATCCGGTTGATGCCGGGTAAGCCACCACGGTATCGCCTGCAAACGAAGTAGCGTAGAAGCTAATTTCGCTTGACCATGCCCCGGGGTTACTCACAATGAGGTAGGCCGGAACACCGTCACACAAGTCTATCATGTTGTTGGTATCGGCTGAACCACCGGTAAAGTTGGTGCCAAGTGTTGACAGCGTTACTCCGCTTTGCACCACATTTATCAATCCACCGTTCCAGCCGTCTCCAAATGAGTCGTAAAGGTCAAAATCAAATGAACACTGAGCGGAAGTGTCGCATAGAGTTGTGTTAAAGGCATAGGGGCCCGACCAGGTGCTTAGATCCGTTGCTCCGCAACTGTCGCGCACGTAGAATTCATAGGCTGTTGCCGACATTAAGCCCGATAGGTTAACCGTATCGTTGGTTGCCGTAAAACGCGTTCCGCTGCCAAGGCTAAAGCCAGCCTGACCATACTCTACTTGCCAATTTGCGGCACTACCGGTAGTCCAAAAAATGTCCGCTCCGTTTTGGCCAATATTGGTGGCTCCCAGGGCGGTGGGTGCCGGACAAGAAAGACAGCTTTCTACGCGAAGCTCATCAAGGGC